TAAAGATCGTGAACGCTCAAAAATCGCTTAAAATGTGCCGATAATGTATATTATTTCGGATCTGAAACTTATAGCACGTTTTTCAATGTGTTCTATGCATTCCTCGCGCCCATGAAATGAAAAAGATGTAAAATTTAAAACATTTAAAAAAAAATTAATTTTTTTCAAAAAATTGAACCCCACCCTAAGGAAAATTTCGACCAAAACTCAAAATTTCACTTGCGCGTTTTTTGAGCTCAATCGATTCCTTTCGAAGTAAGAAGCTCACAAATGTGCATTTACAAAGGGTTTGGGTCAATAATAAGTAAGGAATCCTCAGTTAAAGATCGTAAACGCTCAAAAAACGCTTAAAATGTGCCGAAAATGTCTATTACTTCGGATCTGAAAAAACTCACGCAACTGCAACAGGGATCGTCAGTTAATCACCCTGTTTAAGCCTTTTGCTGCTTCAGGCACGTGAAGCTGACGCACGTGTACCTAAAACATGTAACAAAAGCCAATAGAAATACGCTTTAAGGCTTCTCTAAGGCTGGCGAGGGCAAATGAGTTTCTATTCCGGATGCTCTACAGGGTGATTAAAAAATATTTTTTGTGGTTGTGCAAACAGCGTGTTCTGCACATATCAAAATGTGCAAAGTTTCAAAGTTCCGGAAAAAATTGTGAAAGTTTGCACTTAATGCGAAACTTTCCGGACTGGCCATCTCGAAGGGCAATCGACTCGAAGTTTTCGAGTTATGATTTTTTAATCAAGAGCGTGTTTGTTGCACTCCACACAAGCTGAAATCGGCCTAAGTTTCAAAGCTTTGGTAAAAATTGAATTGAATTGACATAAGAAGTTGCCCGGGTGTTAATTTTTGCGTCAACACTCGCATAGCTTGCAGGAAGCGCCCGAGGAGTGGTGCCAAGGTAGATAAAACCCCCAGATGAGTTTTGAGTAGTTTTTTATTGACTTATATGTAGTTGATAACAATAAAATGAGAGAGCTACCACAATACACATCAATGTTTAGCGAGAAAACACGCTGTTTTTTAAATTTAATTATAGATCGAAATAAAAAGAAGAATAATAAAAAGTAACATACACATACACGAATCGACCGAAGGAAAGAGCTAGTGAAATGAGAAAAACATTTATTTACACACGCTCACGCTCTAGATCAAACTAAACCGAACATTTATGTACACGTAAGATTCATCGTAAACACCTTAATAATTAATTGAAATTCCTAAAACCATCGAATAGTAGTTGTAAAGCCTTAGCAGTGGGTGTGTTTTTGTACCTAAATACTGCAACTGACATAATTCGAGTTGTTTTTCTGTTAAACTTCCTAAAGCCTAATTACCTTAAACCGAATACACGCCTAATTAGTTACGTGGAATACATTATATACGAAGCGTAATAGATCATCAGTCCAAAAAAAGCATCAGTACACGTAAAACTCAGCACGTTTGTTATGCATCAACACATTGTTCAGTGTTCATTTTTTATCACAGTTGACCAAATACTCCTCTGGGTGTAGGACAGCATTTAAGAGGTATTTTCGCTTTCTTTTTGTGCGTTTTCGGCTTCTCGTTGTTGGCGCGCGGCAGCGGCCGCAGCCGAGCGACTCGCGCTTGATCTTAAATTTTTCTTTTCCATTACGGCTTCTGGATCCAGAAGAATTTCGCCAGTTTTTCGCTTACCTGGACACAAGCCTTAGTGATCGAAATCAACAGTTGGTTATTCACAACCTACCTCTACGTTTAGTGTTTTTCTTTGGTGGAGCATCAGTTCCGTCTGTTTCAGTTGGCATTTTATTATCCTGCTGATCTTTCGGCGTTGTTTCCTCCAAAGGAGATTCTTCTATTGGTTGCGGCTCGGAGCCGGCGTCCGCTTCATCGGCACTTTCTTTCGAGCTGTCTTGAGCTTGCGACGATTGCGCGTTTTTCTCGGGCGTTACGTTGGCCGAAGTCACCACTGATGATGGCAGCAACGTTTCGATGTCCACTCCTTCCTGCAAACAAACTTCAGCGTTAATTTCCCAATTTCTATTCCCTGGTAGCTAAAGTTT